AACAACTACACTGTGACAGGATATAATATAACAATATATTTATAAAGAATGCTACCTCAGTACATAAAATATAACAAAGTTTCCTGAATTTCATTGTATAAAGATATACGTTGTGGACAGTGAATATAAAATGCCTCATAATGGATCACTTTTAGCAATGTAATCATGCAGAACATAAAAAAATACTTAGACATACGGACGGCATGGAGCACGATGGTCCTCAGAGCCACGGAAGTTGCCCGCAATGCATTCTTCACATTTATCACCAGCAGTGAAGCTGCCACAGGCAATACAATGAGCATCCCTTGTTGGTCCCTCTTGAATCAGTTTCTCAAGTTCGTCAATTGAAAGAACTGCCAATGTGTCATCTGTTCCTTCTAACAGGAACTGCAAAACATACACTAAAAAATACTGGAATTTTGTGCAGTACATTCATTTGATGTGTAATCTGAACATTTTTGTTTCATAGAGAACTGAAAATATGTTACACTCAGTCAAGCAACAAATTCCAAGATCTGTCTTTACCTAAAAAAATTCTACCATGCAAGAACTATGTCGCAAAAGTCGATAGTTCAAGAAATTCCTGCTTTCACAGAAACCAAAGGTTCATTACCACTTTACAAGAGCATTTCCATTGGACAATAACTTAATCAAGTTGAATACAAAGTAGAATTTGAGGTTTCCACAGTGGTGAGCCCGAAGATGACAGTCTTCTGGGTTGTAGTCCACACAGTATGACAGAAATTTACCAGTGTTTCAGAGGTCCTTGCTACCTCCATCACCAGGGTAATGATCCCTTTAAATTATTTTTACACCTGTGTCTAATATAACATGCAAGTGATTTTAAGACTAAATTTTGTGTACAAAAAAGAGGCTAGTGTTATAAACTGTGATTACAGTGGAAAAAGTGGTCTAATACAGAAAATTCTCATTCTCATCTAGATTCTCAAAATTTTTCCAAATCATTGTCCTTGTCTCATCTCAAATGGAGACAGGCAGTTTTCGCACATGTCTAGTCTGCAGATATTGACCAATGTTACAGAGGATCTTATTGCCTCCATCTTGATGATGGAAGCAGTAAGCTCCTCTGAAACACTGTTAATGTCTACCAGACTACATAATGCAAACACCCCAGAAGGCAGACATCTTCAATAATGAAGTTGTTTATAAAAATAATATTCACATTACTTCACTTACATTAAAAAATCACAAAACTGAATTCTGATTATATGATTTTTTGGCACCCTACTCAGAAAAAAATTCATAAGGCAAGCAGTTCAGGCAATGTCACTTGCTTACCGGCAGAGATGAAGCAGTGCTATTGATACAGATAGGTGTATGACCATTACAGTAGTCAAGGCAGGATACACATTGACCATTGTTAGTGGGATCTCCCACATACAGTGGTAGGCATTTTTCACACTGAGGACCCTGAAATCACAAAAAAAAAAATTTCAAATCCTTATCAAAGTTAAAAATTCAATGCTGCTCCTGTGTGCATGTTAATAACATTAGAAACTGAAAACATTTATTGAACACCCCAATATTACCCTGCTTTCTACTGACAATTCATATATAAAAACAACCAGCTGTAGAACTATGAATTCACCAGAACAACTTCTTTTATTATGAATTACTCAGGCCATTATATATTAGAATATAACAGTAAGGAAATGAAAATTATGTTATGGAACTACTTTGGTTCAAAAACTGAAATTCTTATTCTTATTTCCCACAAGATTTATAAGTGTGTAATTCAATATCTTAATCAAACATTATATTTCAAAATTAACCACATAATTTTATGCAGTAATGGGGAGAGAAACTTTATTAATGGGGTTGTAAAATTAGAGAAGCATTTAAATATGCAAAAAGTCAAAGTTTGAATAGAAAGCAGATGTAAGACAACCTTCACTATGGTATTAATCTATTTCCTTAACCTAACTGCAATGGCAAGTGTGACGGACAAAATACATCTGCATGAAAAACAAGGTGAGTTTTCTAGAGAATGCAACTGCAAAGTTAACACGTGTGTTATGAATCAGCCATCACTCTAATAGCTCAACGTCTTGAATATAAATTATCAGTTTTAACACCCTTGAAGCTAAAGCTCATCTAAATATTTAAAGATTCAATTCCTCTGGCAAAGAAAACAACACTTCTCGATGACAAAGAACATTTGGTTAACGTCAAATAGGGAAATAAATGCTGTTTCTTCATAGAATTATATGAAATACATAAATATACTTGTGAGCAAAATTCAGTGTTATTGACTATTAAAGCAGGTGGTACATGTAGTTACCACTAGGCTTTAAATGTTAGAAGGTTAATACAACATATTTTCATACACACAAATATAATATCCAAGGTGTCAAAATGCTAAAAATCAAGTAAACGGTGACTAACACATGTATTATAACACAGTATGTTTAACAAACAGCAAAGCAATTTGCATAACTTCACAGCAGTATACCAAAATCTCATTAGTAAAATGAAACCCGCATAAATAGCATCAATGAAAGGAATCTAACCATTGTGTAGTTATGACACTCCAAACACTGATCCAGTTTGTCTGGACCAGCACAGTCAGCATGGTTGTTACATTGGCACTGAATGCTACAGTTTGCTCCCACATAACTAAAGTCACAGCGGCAAACATCAGGCTCCACACAAACACCACGCACACACCCCTGTGTACACACCGGCACACACGCAGACCTATAAATAGGCAGAATATTAACATATTTACAACATATTTAATCTACCATAATGACTGATTTTTTTTCAAACAATAGGAACAACAGGTTTCCCATGTGTTCACACATTTTTAAAGGCAGATTATATTATGAACATTAAGGTATAAAGTAATAACTTCTTCTCCTTCATACATGAGAGTAAAAATCCTGTTACATCTCCAATTATTCTCTATATCTTTTCTTGGTTGCCACAATTCTCTTCTCACAAGGTTATATTCATTTACAAATTTCATATTTCTGTTATTCCAAATCCATTTTATATATGCATACCATTTTCTCTGTTCTTAAACCATTTCATTTACATTTTTAACTTTTAGCAGAGTTATAATATCATCATTCATCTTATCAGCTATCCTAAAGCCACCCAGTGCTCTTAGAAACTTAACTTCTGCTGTTGTCTTCTGAGTTGTAACATTGTGTGAAACTGGGAGGTAAATACCTCATGAAGATGGAGAAGTTATGTACCTAAAAAACAATGGCATCTACCTACAAGCCCATGCAGGATTTCAACCTAGAAGGCCAACATGCAATGTATGTCCAGCACATCATATTTCTTAATGGATGTAGAACTTTTAAAAGTTTTTATAAAAAACCGTACAGGTTTGTTATGTTACAAAATTGCTGTCTTCTGGGTTGTTGCGCCACGTAGTTTGGTAGATGTCCACCAACGTTTCAGAGGCCACACTGCCTCTGTCATCAGGGTGATGAATCTTACATTTGTTATATTAACTTCTAAATCACAACTTGCTACATAACACACTGCCTATCTTGACAGTCCACACCATGTGAAGAGATAAATGCTGAATAACTTAAATTCTCCATTAACTTGGGATAGTGGTAGTAAGGGAATGGAAATTCAATTCATTGCCAGATATCAACTGCTTGCAGAGAATGATGAACATTAACTTGGAAGCGCAAGATCAACAAACAGTAAGAGTAAAACTGAATAAAAAGTAAAAAATAAAGGCAATTTATTAAGCATGATTGGTCATGAGTGGGACTAGGGGGTAGTTCCAGAGGAGAAAAGAATTTCAGGTTAACTTCAAGCATTAGTCAACATGTGTGGCACACATACATTTTTGATGGAAATATAGTTACCATACAATATATAAATAATTTTAAGTGAACAATTAAAGAAATACAATGTCTACACTCCTGCGGAAGTAAAACATTGACGTAAACAAAAAGAAAGGCTGATATAACATATTTCAGTTATGCAATACAGCAAAGTCCTGATTATCTAACCTAAATGAGACCACACAGAATACATTAATTGAAAATGTCAAATAATACAAAAGACTAACGAAAAATATGAGGGTAAACATCAACTCACTTTATGATATTACTAAATTACTAAGAAAATATGATATGGCATCAAATGAAAAACAAGTATTAAACATAACGTATTATTTCTGGTCTTGGCTGGCCTTAGACAGGATAGGCGAAGGAAGAAGTCTACGGAAAAATCTTACGAGAAGAAGAGATAGGATGGTGGGACACATTCTGAGGCACCCAGGATTGGTTAATTTGGTAATGGAAGGAACAGTTGAAGGGAAGAATTGTAGGGGGAGACAAAGATTGGAATATGTGACACAGATTTTTGAGGATGTGGGCTGCAAAAATTATATGGAAATTAAGAGATTTGCGCAAGATAGGCGAAAATGGAGGACCGCATCAAACTAGTCAAAAGACTGATGACAGACAAACAAACAAACATCATTTCTTTAAGAAATTAGCAATGGGTATTTGCTTCTGAACCCCTTACTTTTCTTTGCAGCAAGATCACACCAGTGCCTGAACAGGATGTCTGTAGCAACCGAGTACATAAAATGTATAAGGTACATGGTAGAATACGTGATTCATTCCAATACATACTGACTAGCCTGTTGCTAAAATAATGCATTTGGACATGGCACACTGGATAAAACAGAATGTCAGATAACCGAAGGTCAGATAATTGGAACTCTACTCTATCATTTGCTCAAGAAAAGAATAATTAACTATTTAATGGGGAAAATCTAATTATTCTGAGTCTGCTATTATACACCAATTTGTTCGTAGATATTGATCCAATCTATTTTTAAGATAATTTTCTTATATATGGAAAAACAAAGATGAATATTTTACTTACTTCTCAGATTTATAGCCCTGGCCACAGACACACTTAAATCCATTTAGAAGATCCACACACTGCTCAGATTTGTTATCACAGGTATGATGATTGTTGACACACTCATTTTCTGGTGGGCATTGCACATAATGCCATGAAAATGTGGGAAAAGCTACATTTGAATCCCTACGGCTTGCAGCATTCCAACTTGAGTTATTTACAGATGTATTACCTGAAGAAATAAGGTAGCATGAGCTTCCACTTTACTGAAGTTACCATTATTTCACCAACTTTAAAAATAAAGCTACATCAATATACTATCCAGCACAAGTTAATCAACAGAGAACAGATAAGGATGAAAAACATGTTCTGATTTGGCATATACATAATTTAAAACTGTATTCTTTGCAATTTTCCTTCTCACAGGTCTGGTTGTTAACTTAATGTCAACAGAAAACTACACATACAACAGTGCATAGAGACATAAATTATTTTATTTTACAAAATACTGACCACATGGAAAAAAGTTTTAAACAAACGTTTGTGCAATGAATGCATAAAGACGGTGAAACTGAAATGTTGGCCCTCACTACATGCATAAGAAAATGCAGACAAGACATGCAAGAGTGAATCTGTCACTCATTCCTCAAAGACGCAGATTTTTCAAGACTGTAAGTTTCTTAACCAGGTAATGAGAGAAAACAGACAGTTTGGCAAACCTGTTGCAGCCATCTCCTGGAAGTAGAGAGCATCACATGTTGAGTGTGCTGGGCCATTAGAAGGGCTGTCAAGGGATCCCTCTGTGCACACTCCTTGTCCTGTATTGTTTTCCACATCAAGGGAACACCAACTGGCACACAAACACAGAAAGTAATAAAGTGTTCCACAGAACATAGAAGACTTTACCATCACTATGGACAAAATATGTAATCTTTCTAAGTATTTAACAATCCAGTTTTCATGTAATGGTAATGGGGGTGCTACAGGTGTTCTGGTAATTCTACAGAGAGAACGAGATAGAAACAGATCTGGGAAACTTAAGTTATTACAATTTATTATAATCAACACTTACTCAATAATTTATTTCTTGTTTAGCATACACACTTCATCTTGTAGGCCATCACCAGTGTATTGAAAGTCAGCCTTCACTGCACTAACTTGTACATTTATGTAAATGTAAGCTGCGTGCAAATAAAAGTCCATCTGACTTTTAAGAAGAAAGTAAAATCTAATTTATAAGCTGCATTAAAGCTTTTCAATTAATTTTCCCTCAAGTACCAGATTAAAGTTTCTAAATTGAAAAAACAATGGTTGTGGTTATTTCATGAGGACCAATTGCACTACATGTACTGTGACATACTGCCTGCTAGTCGTATAATAATGCAACTTTGAAATATGGTAATCACATATCTCAAAATGATGAATGCTGAAATAAGAGAGAGATGGAGGTAGAGTGAAAGAATAAAAAAAAACATCCTTTCATGTTCGTTTGGCCAAGGATATTTTTTTGGAATGCAACATATGCTCACCCCTACTTGCAGAAGTGAGATTGTAGTTGGCATGTGCAGATTTTATGCATGGTAGCTGCAATACTGTTAAAACAAGACACCAAGAAAGGCTAAAAGAAAGAGAAACTGTATTTCTCACACAGTTCATTTCATGCAGCCAAATTGTTTAAAAGTTTTCATCCTTACCCTTCCCTTCCTTCATTCCTGTTCAAGGGCTACAACTTAATCCACTACCAAAATGACAAGCCCTTCCAAAGTTGTTTTACCTCTTGTTATTTCATGCAGTTCCTTCCATCCATTCTTCTGAGAAGCAACTGTTTTTATATTTGCTAGCATTGAAATACATGTATCGTTTCAATATGCTGGATATATCAATTCCTAATCAACCATGATACAGGCTGATTATCTCACTGTTAAAAATTTACAATTACAAGCCAGACCTTAGCTTTAGAGATGAAAATAAAAAAAAGTTTACAGTAATGGTACTTATTCATTATATACATAGTCTCCCTTTATAAACATTCATTTCTTACTTCATATCTTCCTTTACAAACTTTTGAAGTGTTATCTCAGCTTTCTTCGCATAGTGGAAACCAACTTACAAAACACTATTACATAGGAAAAGCACTCAAATGGATCACCAACCAAAACATTAAGACTAAACAAATACAACACACACAGCAAATAAGTGTTGATAGTAATAAAATGTAACCAACTGTAGTATAACCATGATAGAAAGCGTATGGCCGATAACAAAAACTTTATTATAGTAAGTAACATAATTGGAACCATGAATTTATTAAAGTTTCATACATGGAAAATGTTGTAGAAACAATAGCTTTTCTGGTACTTTCACCATGATTCCTGACTAGCCACCACATTCGCTCTGAAACTTTTTTCACTGACTGTACTTCCTGAAGCAATTTATAGCTTACAGTCCGTAAATGTACCGTTAACTCACCTTCAGTACCTCTCTAGTCTAGGAGAAGAAAGTCCACATTCCAGAATGTACTGTTCGCATGATTTATCTTGACATCTTAAAAATGAGGGCTGGAAGGAAGGGAGATAGGTTAGTATGACACACTCCGCACATGCTCTGCTCAGTACTATCGTCCAAAATTACAGTCAGCTGTTGTAGATAGTATGATCAGAATGCATATGCAACAGTGGAGTGAGCACTGCCATGCAGAATACATTTTCATTGGTGAACACCTGTTTGCTGTCCCATTGCATAAACCACATTTGTATGAATTTTTATGAGTACCCATTAGAATAGGCACTCTCCCAAATTTTGTAAATTCTTGGAAGTGAGGATAATGATGTTCTCTGAGTTTTGGCACAGTCTACACAGTGCCAAAACCCAAATCATCATCATCATCAAAATTTGTAAATTCTCATTACATTGAGACTGCACTGTGTTAAAGAACATCACTGTAATTTATTTGATTAAAATTAATTATCATAAAACTAAAGAAAAAGGGCTCGAGGAAAACCACAGTTAAAACAGATGACTCTACAGTGCCCCAAGAACCACCCAGATGTGAATTAATCACACTAACACAGAATTAATCCAGTCACACATAGTTAAGTGGTGAAAGTAGTAACACATTAAAATCTGTAGTAAGGCAGTTTCATAAAATATGAACCTGCCAAACAGTTCCTTACCTACCCACAATGAGCATGTCGAAGACAAGTAGAACACTGCTTATATGTGGAACAGCGTTCAGGACAGTGTTCAGTGTTGCCACCCCGCAGAACCAAGCCACACACTCCACCAGTACAATAAAGAGGCTGATAACTTGGTGATATACACTGAAAATAATAAACCACAGCTGAATGATATACGAATACATTGTGTAGCGTGCAATGTCTTCTTTAAATCACTTTCACACTTGTGGGTTGACTATTATATTACTCTGCACCTCTCTACCTGCCCATTTTTGAATTTCATCTTCATTCACCCAGTCTCACCCACTACTGTCTACAGGTCTCTTAACTTAGCCTATCCATCATGTGCATGTTCTGCCCCTGGGTCTTCTTCAACTCATCTACATTTCCAATAATCCTTCTGGTATTTTAAGTTCATTCATCCATTCTTTCAACATGTCCAAAACCATCTCAAACAGGAAACTCCATAGTGCTACTTAGTATGTGTGCTACATTGTGTTTATGTGTTTTGGGTGGGGGGGTATAGAAGTCTTGTGGGTTCTTTTGTGTCTTCTCAATTTTCCATTGTGTTTTCTACTCAGTTCTGCCTTTTGCCAGTGAGATAATATCAGGCATGACCATTACTGCTATCTCACATTATGTGTGTGGCACAAGGAAGTCAAAAGGTTTACCATCTCTACAACACGGATCATAAGGAAGTGGTCGGGATAAGATGATGCACAAACCTCTCCAAGCTGAATGGACCAGCGGCACTCATGCCAGCCACCTTCAGCTCCTGGAGCCAGCAGACAGCTCTGGCAATCTAGGTTCATACTGCAACGATCTGGACAAACTTGAGCTGACTTGATCTCGATGCTGGATCGTTCGGAGATCTCACTGCTGACACAGTTCCAGTCGTAGATTGGCTCACCAGTTACTATCTTCAAAAATTCAGCTGCAAACATAATTTTGTAACAGTGGCTCCATCTTTCTCAGTATCTGTGTTTAGCTGCTTTAACTATACTGGTAAAATCTGACCTTTACAATAATGGAACTTAACATGAGTTAAGGGCCTCACCCATGTTCTTCAGCAGCAAAATGGTTTAGTATATACTCACCTAACAGATGTTATATTACTACTAAATATGACTTATACAAAAGGATGTAAAAAATTAATTAGGATATAAACAGATTATACATGAATGGAGTTCTATCAGTGACTGAGTTTTACATATTAGAAACACTCAGAGACCATTGATAATCCATTCCACAGATAATTTGTGCTCTACTGTACCTACATATATTTTTATAATTATCTGTACTAAGTGATAAACCAACAAACACAGTCACTCATATAACTGGGATACTGGGCACGACCCGTTCTTTAAGTGCCTAAACACTGCGGGTCCCAACTTTTCGTTGGCTTGATCTATAGACATTTTGGTAGGACTCCTTGGACGAGGGATCGGCCTGTCGCAAGGCCTCTACCTGTACACAGGACAGCACAACACAGAAAAACGCCGACAATCATCCATGGCTTGAGTGGGATTCGAACCCACGGTCCCAGTGACCAAGCGGCACAATGTCCACGCCTCAGACCGCGCGGCCACTGCGGACCCCCACTCATACAAAGGAAACACAATACATAACACTCTACACTCTTAGCAACAAAGATTACCAATGAACCCAATTCTTAGTCAGTTTAATCCAATACATATAAACAAAACATAATTCATTCTGTTCCATTTTAACATCATCCTCTAATGTCTGTCTCCAGTGATTACACATACCTCCCCTCCCCAAAACTCTGTGTGAGACATCAAATAGCATAAACAAAACACGTTATCAATCTAACAATCAGAGAAAGGGCAATAGTCTGATAAATGATCTGAGATCTGACAAATTAATGCCCTGACAGATGCTACAAATAAGAAGCAGTACATTTCTTACTAGACGTAATTGTTTATTTATGTCAAATGGCAGGTACATAGAATTTCATCTTTGACCCATATATTGCCAAGCTTGTAGACCACTTTGCCGTCAGAGACAAGGAGGTAGGTGTACTTGTAATTGTACATTTTATTCTAATCCATCTAGGCCATAATGAAAAGATACACTTACGACTGAGGAGAACCTGACGTGTCCACACACAAGAGCCAAGACCCACACATTTGTCACAGTCTGATGCAGGGCACTGTCTCTCAGTACACTGACTCACATCTGACACTGTTCTCTGGCGAACACCACACTTGTTCTCACGTTCACACTCACTGTCCTCGGGGATGCAGCGGCCTCGTGCACAATTTGAGCACCACTTACATACCTGCTCAAAAAATTTACATGTCTGTGTTCCTTTATGTGTTTTTCTCTTCTGACAGAGAATGAACTAAATTGAATAAAATTTTTCTTGGATATTATCCATCGTCTAGTAAATATAAAACGTAAAACGACGTTTCGGAGATGGGACTCTATCTCCGTCTTCAGGTTCCTACTCAGTTGGGCCCACTAGATAGAGCTAATCCCTATTACGTTTTATATTTACTAGACGATGGATAATATCCAATAAAAATTTTATTCAATTGACTCTTCACCATCGTCAAGAAGTTTTGGATTTGATATAAACTAAATTATTGGATTTCTAATTTAACAGACTAATGTTTCAACTCTAACAAAGAGAAGACTTCTCTGAATTACAACAGTTGCATATAAATATCATATATTCTTGTCCAGGCATGGCAAAAAGTACAAAATTAGCACAGAGTCATAACCTTTATGTTTCTCTCTCTTAAATAATCAGGGTCAGGGATTTCTAATGCTGTGAGAGGTTTAATATTATTGTTTATGGCACAATTGGTTAATAACTCATACAAAAGAATATCAATTCGGAAGAGTAACATGTATAATAATTTTATACAAAGCAAGTCTCATTGAAATAGTGACTGCAAAAACTTCCCTCTCTAACAAAATGGGAATGTTGGACCACAGGAATAGTGTGACAAATTTACAGGTATATATAAAAATGCAAACTGAATATGAAAAAAATCACAGTAGCATCATTAGATATAAACTATCTACTATTTAAAAATGTATCAAGATCAGTACACATAATTCAAATAGAGAGAACATTGTTACCTGTACTTCATTAATGTGAGTGGGCCATTTTGCCAAACATTCTGTACATGTTGTATACTGTGCACAGTTCCTTTTTGACAACCACTTAGCATCACACACCACACCATTATTTATGCTAACTTGTGTAGCATTGTGGTCACGTAGGTCACAACTGAAAACAAACAATGCATAAATCTATAATGTACTTCCATTACTATCTCATTATTATTCAGTTCAGAGGATGGGAAATCTTCCTGTTCAAATTCCAACTTATCACATATAGAGTAACCCACAACTACATACAATTATGCAACATTTCATATAACCAAAATGGAAAAAATAATAAGACTGGTGATTAAATATGAAGTGAAACATGATAAAATAAATGGTTAAAAATACACTGCACAAACTGGCAAACAAATTTACATTTCAAAAGAACTCCTCAATGCTACATAGTTACTATTTGGTATACATGGCCCATACGGTACTATTTGGAATAGTACTAATTATACGTAACAGACCAGAGCAAAATATTAATAAGAAAAGATGACTTATGGTATAGCAACATACTACCCATTCTACACAGGACACTCCTTAAACATGCAATTTCACTTACCTCTCTTCATGTGTCCTCAAGTTAGAGTAGCAGAGTGTACTGTTCTCTCCACGCTCTGTCATAATGTCACAGTGATTGCACCCCAGGAACTTACGACACTTATTCTTGCCCTTCCACAGTCGGCACAAGTCCTTTGGCAATACAATGCGCATCACGTGGCTCTGAATCCCACCATCAAAGCCACCAATCACAAATATAGCTCCTGTCTCCATGTCTAGTGTCATAGCATGAGCATATGTAGGAGGAGGAGGTGAGCCAACAATCTCCACATCTGCAAAATAGTTCAAATATGACACACATTGTTTTATAGTCCTGCCTGTGCCCTTATTCTAAAGGCCCCTCACTTAACACTTTCCTATTATTCTTATTCTTCCCTCACAGCTGATATTCTTCTTCTTCTTCCTCTAAAGTTGTTCACAGCATTTCCTGCTTCACAGAAAAATAAAACACCGATGGAATTTTGTGAACCAGTGCTAAATCTGGGCCAACCTGTGCAGTTAAAATAATCGTTTTATTACAAAACATACCATATTATTGCATCCACATTTTAAATTCAAGAACACAAATTTCTATTAATTTAATTTAATAATCCCCAAAACTGTAAAACTTACAGAAAATGTGTACTGGGCATGAAATGTGTCTTTAACTTTCCTCTGTAACTTTCATATGAAAAATATTTTTCTCCAATAAATATTTAATCTTATATGAATGGATATTAAAATTGTTGTATCTAAATGGAAACTGAAATAGCTTGACAATTTTTCATAAAATTATCCAGTACCAAATTTCATCAGAACTGTTTTATCCCTTCTTTAGTTGTTTCATGCATACAGACAGATGAAGGAATCTTCACAGGCACTCTGCAGAGTAGCAAACACACCTAAGCAAATGTGACCTGAGTTGGATTCAATTCTGCACACATGCTGAGAACTTTAATTCATGAGCTGCATAGTATTCATTGCTAGGATGTAAAATTACATTATTTAATATTAAAAACACTAGATCTGTAGGACTAAAAATCTGTACAAAAGAAAAAGTTCTGCTCAGAACTAACTGTTACTTTCAATACATGCACAGAAAATAATAAATACTGACCATTTGTAAGAAGCCTCAGCCACTGATTGCAGGAGTATGTATATGCAATGAGGGAATTTGATGTGTTGTAATGGGATCGTCCACCGAATACAAGCATGTAGTCATCAGTTGTTATAGCAGAATGTAAGTATCGAGCTTCAGGCTGCAGACAAAAGGTACATATACACAGCCTGGTCCACATTTTAACAAAAGAGAATTTTTTTAAAACTTCATGTGTAAAATCTCTAACCCACATATGATTAATGACGTATTACATCAATGGTCCCCAACGTGGTTGCCCGCGGGTGCCATGGCGCCTGCCAAGGCTTTTTTTTGGGTGCCCGCGTTGTTATGGAAAGAGGTTATACAAGGTGCGATCGGAAAGTTTCAAGACTGTGTCAATAGAGGGCAAACCGGATGTAGTACGAGCTTCTGCCGCTAGGAAGTGCCAGAAGTACCATCCCTTTAGAAATGAATACGTATACTGGAATATGTTACAACAGCTGCCACGTAAAATATAGAACGGAGTCAAAATTGACTTCAGGATCCAAACCATTAGGCTGATAATGAAGAAAATAGATTGTAATATTGTGAAATGAATCAAATTTCTTCAGCAACAATGAAAAGGCAACTTTTAGTGTTACAGTGACTAATGTTCACAATCAATACAACGAATTAATTAACGTAGAGAGACTGTATTAAGATCCACTCTCTTGTTTCATAATTAGAAAAGAAAAGATAAAAAACATGGAAATAAAAATAAATCGCTTATGCACCATTGAGAATACGAACATTTAACCAATGTAAAACTCAACATTCACTTTACTTCAGCAACTCTAATTTACAATGTTGGCAACTTGTACTTACTTCCAACAGCTCAAACCAATCTTCAAGTCCATCGGCAGCTCTCAACAGGACTCTGCCGTCCCGCCCTAGCACAAGGGCTACAGTACTGTAATTCTTCTTGTTGATCCATTCGACCCTTTCCACTTCTACTAACTTAACCTGCAAATTTTAACCAGTTCATATTGTAAGTCTACAAAACTGACAATTTACAGAATTATTTCATAAACAGAACAATGTGGGGAACATATGCTGGATGGAAGGCTTTTTTTGGGTGCCCGCGTTGTTACGGAAAGAGGTTATACTGAATAATGAAGGCTGTTCAACCACGAACATTATAAAATCGAAGCATAGATCTCGACCTGACGATTGTTTGCGAACAGCAACATCATCGTACACTCCCAAATTTGAAAAACTGGCCGATGAAATGAAGCGCCAAACATCACACTAACTTCCCACTTGAGTAATAATAATTGTATTTTTGATTGCATGGTTTCTTGTATCATTAAACGTTGTGTTGTTTTGTGTATTATTTGGTGTCCATATCTTATTTGTCCAGAGAAATGAAAATTTGGCTTTGTTAATTGGTTGGTGACTGCCACGATCTCATAAACTCTCAAATGTGCTCGTAGGCACAAACAGGTTGGGGACCACTGTATTACATTGTCAATTGAAATTTTTTATTTAATATCAAATGAAAAATGTCATGACAATTGTGATTAATGAGATGGGAAGAAGATGGAAAATAAATCATAATAAACCTTGTGAGATTTCAGGTTCTCATGGTAATGAGTATGAAGATAGTTGTCTTATGGGTTGTATCACCATGCAGTCTGGTAGAAATTCAGCGATGTTTCACACATGCTTGCTGCTTCCATCACCAGGGTGATGAATAATGCCCTGATGATGGAGGCAGCATCTCTGAAACAAGCAGACTACATCACGCAACAACTGAGAAAACAGCCATCTTCAATATTAACTACCTTTTCAGTATAAGAAAAATCAAACAGTCAGTACTGCAAAAAATGAATCCTGTGACAGAACTCTGTCCTAAGCCTGATAATCAGATCATAAATTTATATTGTATTCATAATGAACTTACACTACACAAGTTTCACAGCTCTGACGCCTTTTAACCCCTCGAAAATGGGAAATCCCAAAGTAAATCTACACATAATGCTGGAAGGCAAGGTTATAATGCTACTGCATATCACATCAGCCAACCAACTCAAAGTCACCTTAACCACATAAGCCAAAAAAACTGGCAACGCAAATTTAAATGCATATCACCTGTGACACAAGCTATAAATACAAACCAGATGAAGTCTTGGGGGATTGTACTCTTCAAATGTGGGCAGAATGGACCAGAAACGAGTCGGATAATGAAACGCATACAGCTTGTTGGAGATGAAGGTCCGGTTGATGCCATACATGTAGCCCCCAAACACGTAGAAGCTCTGGGAGGGGGCATGATACACAGTGCTATGTCCATAGACACCTGGAACAGCAAAGAGCACGTCATATTTATTGACATATAAGGCAATACCCTTCCAACATATACATTATCAACTAAGAAGCCAGTCCATGTGATACTCTGAACTCAACTCTTCTCATCACCAGTATTAACTGCCTGACAAACTCCATGATGTAAGGTCAGTCTCTTAAAATATTCCCTGCTTTTATGAAACCTGAACGTTCAGTGCCATGTTCACAAAAGCTCAAAACAGTTGAATTCAGTCCACATACTATTTTGCTAAGATCCAATTTATTATTATCCTCCCATCTATGCATAATCCCCACTTAATGGCACCTTGTCATGGTGGTGGGGCTTGAGTACCTCTGTGACTCCAAGAGCTATGCTGGCGGTAGCATAGCTACTGGTAGGGCCTCCCTAGCCAGATTGGTCGAGGGGGAGAGGTCAGACTAAGATAGGGACCCTGGTCCTCCAGGTTGGGGGTTGGTCGCAAGGCTAACAACCTTGCACCATAAAAAGGAAGATGTTTCAAAACCTCAATCAAAGCCTCGGACAGACGGACCCAACAGAGGACCGAATGGAAGAGGAGAACTGAGGAGGCCATGGACCGAATACGGACCGGAGAGCCATAGAAGAAGATCTATGCATAATTTTTCTAAGTGGTCTCTTCTTTTGAGGTTTCTAATTAAAATTCTGTAGGTATTTCTCATTCCTCCATCATGTTACATGTACCAGTAACCAACTGCCTTGATTAATCATCTTACCAACTAACTGAACTAAACACACCATGGAGTAGCATCCTTGAAAAGCTAGTAATTTCTCAGGCAGTCAAAAATATCTTACCTTTTATAGAGTCTGAAGGTCCATCACTATATTACCAGATGATTCAATCAATCCGGTTTAAAAATGGAATATATTGTTTGATATACAATGCCTGCTGTAAACATGATAACACAGCTAGTTTGAACAGTCAACTGGTACTATTGAACCATTTTAACATAAAATAATAACAGGCACTGCACAAAGCTTGACTACTGGAGCAAAAACCTTAAAGACAAAGTCAGTCTCACCGACTTACCAAGTGGGTCATTGCCTGTAGTATTTAGAATATCCCAAAGTTCTCTTTCCAAATCAAACTCCCACACAGTTTCCAAGAAGCCATAGCGTGGACTGAATCCTCCAATTAGCACCAAGCTCTCTGACTCATCACCTCGATGAAGAGTCAGTGTGTGCCCAGCCAGAGGAGGTGGCCGTTTCTTTTTCTGTCAAACAGTACAAAGTCTCATGTAATTTTACTTCTGGAAGAATTCTACATGTCCACACACACAAATCAACTTTAATATTTAATTTAGGCTATGTTCCCTCTGATGCCTGCTTGGAGACTCCCTATTGGTCCAGCTCTACCTCCCTCTCATTTCTCATCCCTGATTGGTCTATTCCTTCAGCCCTCCCTTCCTCCTAACGTACATAAATTCTACTTCCAGCAATAGAACTTCAGGCCCAAAGAGGCAGCAGTAAGTTTCTCTGAAAAGTTGCCATATATTGCCAAGTCTACATGGTGCCAAAACCCAGGAGGTCATAATCAACAACAACCTCACCACCATGAAAACCTCAAATCTCTCAAAATAATTCTTGAATTCTTGTTATGCAAGAGCAGTAGTGCATACAAACCTTGATTTCAACCCATTTTTGATTCTTATGATTGAACTTCCAGAAGTCATCAAGCGTATTGTTTGTCTGGCCACCAATCTCCTCCCTCTGGTGTCAACATACAAAAGAGTCAGACTATATTATCAATAATTAAAATTCTTTGATATCTTGCTTGACATGTATTACAGTAAAATGTCTTTGTATTAACTTACAATATTTTGCTTTTGAAATAAAGAATATTGTTTCATTCCTGATAGACTACACACAAATTTTAACTTAATCTGTGTAACACTACAGTGATAAGATTTAAATGCAAGACTTAAATATAAATTAATCTAGTGAATAGACAATTTTAATTGCTGCAAAGAAGTCTACAGTGAATGTTATTCCAGTCAACACTACATACAATCCAAGGGATTAGACAGACAACATAGTATTAAAAGAAAAGCATACTCTCTTTGGCACTGTTCTGTCACCCCTAATCTGCGGTATGACTTTAAGATAAATATCCTACTGCAGATACTACATACCTGTGAGGTGCACTTATCATCTCCATGACAAATTTGAGAAAGACCACCATATACATAGATTTCTCGGCGAGAATTAACTATCTCTGCTGCATGAAAGTAGCGAACCTGGGGCATGCTTCCTGTTGAGTCCACTGTGACCTAAAGACAACAGTCACAACTGTGAGTCTTGTTAAATTCATATCGCTGCCCTCACAGGCAACCCAAAATTCTATGTATCAAAGTGATTACAATCTTTGTTCACCTACTTTCATTAAATAAGAAGACAACTTTTACATTCTCTGCAAAACTATGTTATCTGGGTCATGTTGATTTATCTACAACAATAATCCAAACGGCATAATTTTTAAGAAATAAAAATTAAGTTTACATGAATTTACTGAAGCACCAAAGCATGAATATAAGTTTACAAAATACAGAATGTCTTAAGCTTTGAATGTGATATTCTTCATTTATTTATGCTACAACCACATATGTTCCAGAATTTGGCATCTTGCAACATGAAAATGGTTTGCATTAATATCTGAACTATATTATGTCAGTGTTTTTTTACATAATATGGTATATAAAATTCAGTTATGACTGCACATGCAATATATGTGAAGACCTTTAAACATACCATGGAAAGTAGATAAGTATGTAAGATGTCCTGCACACACAGAAAACTTCTAATAACATCCAGCGAAAATTTTGTTTCAGGGCTAAAGTACTTTATGTCCTATAAACTATAAATTAAAATTTTTATACTGTACCGGCATCCAAGAGCCATTCTTTGTGTCAAAAAGTCGGATGTCATTCAGAGGTCCATTTGTTAAAGAGAAACCTCCAAACATCCAGAGTGAGCCACGGGTGTCAACAACTAGGCTGTGACCGAAGCGGGGCAATTGTTTGCGTAGATGGTCAACCTGACTGTCAGTGGGGAGTCGAGCTGCATCAAAAAGCTGGGTAAATACCAGCTGTGAACCGTGTAGAGTCACTGAACAGTCCTCACCACCAAATCCAGAGGAACAGAGACAGCGGCCATATTTCTGACAACATACATATTTAATACTGTCAACTTTCTGCTTCAAAGTTTAATATTCAGTATTTGGCTAAAAGATTATAAAGATGTGTCTTTAGAAAAATAGTGTAGAAGTCAATTGTAGTGTATTGGGAAAAAATAAAAGTACCTTATCTTAAATTGCTATCCTTTCACATAATGCCTCTGAAGAAAGAAATTAAATATACTAGGTTCACTTCAAATAAAAGCTACATATTATTTCAGCTGACTGAGTGATTCATTAATTAACAGTTGATTATTTCATATCATGTATTAATTACATTTGTTCAGCTTCTATATTAATGGACAGATCACGGGAATAACAACCTTGTTCATAATAAAAATCTATCAAGAATAGTCGATCCTTGACCGCAGGCCTGCATGATGAAAAGTCTGAGCAGTAGCCACAGAATCACCAGTTTTAATGGCAGACAGAATTATGTTAGCAAAGTTACAAACTACAGGTGTTAACTGTGGCTTAAATCTATCCTTTTCTCCCTGAATGGACTCAGGATAAAGTTGTGACTAAATTAAGGCAACTGCCACCTTCAGCCCCATAACAGCAATGATTTATGATGTAACAATAATAAACTTCTCATACACAAATGGGAAAATATTCATGTAACCATCCATTCTTGCCATCAATTTGCTTCAAGTATGAACTATTTCAATCTGTACCAGAGCCATTTACATAGAAAAAAATATATTCCAAAATCAGTACTATGAAATGTTCTTACTGTAAGTAATGCCTCCATTTATGACTACTGAAACTTTCCAATTTCTGCCCACTTCGGCAGTACCGAAGGAATTCATAATGTTAGGAGGATGGTAATTAAATAAGCCACACAGCTTAAAGTGAGCTTCAAATGACAATGGTGGCCGACTATTCTATATATTCATACAACGTTTTACTTATCAGAGGCGAGAGAGTGGCATAGCTAACAGAAAAACATTATCCCATATTCTGCAATATTAGTTTTGTCAAAGTAACCCAAATACAAGTTATGCATGATCTGAAAGTTTGAGGTTCAGGTGTGTTTAGTGCATCACTGATGATACACAGACAAAAAATTACTTACTTTGTCACACAATCCTTGTTTCTTGTCGCTGCTACAGTTGTTAGGGCACATTTCAATGGAGCAATTGGTCCCTGTCCAGCCATCTGCACATATACACTGCCCACTACGACAAGCATGGTTAGCTGGGCAATTTTCTGGGCAACTTAGAACTTTATAACTTGCATTGAAACCCTCAGACAGATCTCCTTGTTTGTAGTATACAGTTAGAACACCTGAAATTTAACAATCATTACTCAGGTAACTGAGTCATCTTCATATTCACAGCTGTGAAAATCTGAAATCCTATTTTAAACACTGCTATTTAGGCATTCTTAAAGAAACATGCTTTGTATGACACAATGGAATGAGACATGTTAACTGAGAGAGATTATTGGCTACATGATCAAATTAAAATGACAAACTGAATGCATTTTAACCACATATAAGAATAGATATCTTGAAAGAATGGACTGTGAAATAAATATTAACACATTTTCGTAATATTCATTCTCCTGGCATACAACAATCAGAATTAAAACTTAAAACAGAAGCAGAACAGTTAACTTGGATCTAACCGGGTTTTGGCCTCACCAGACTTGGCTTCCACAGTCACTGGGTAAGTGGCGTCCACACTGCAGAACACACCCAACACATGACTCTGGTGGCTATTTGTAGCTGACACAAAATCTGGCAGCCCATCATACACATAAACACTGTTCTCTTGGCAGGTGATGTTGATGTCCTCATGGATTGTAAATTGAATAGTACTGTCAAATGCACAGAACACTTTGTTGATGTCTTTATGATCATACACTCTGAGGTTTTATGGCAATTCATATTCAGTACAGAATCTTCTACAGAGTCAGAAACATAAAAGTTACAGATTTTTCTTTTTGTTTCCTTCCTTGACCATCAAGGAGGAGGCAGCAAGTTTCTATGAAATGAGTAATTTTTACCATTTTTAAAAGATGCTGCAAAGGGAAGACTCTCCAGTGAATACATCAGTTTCTCATTTTTCATTAACTTCTCTTATGAAATGTGGATAAATAAAACATCAGTTTCAAATTAAACAAAAAAAGTATAGTTTCAACAAAGTAATACTTACTTTATAATAAACACAGCAAAAAAAAATGTTTCTTTTATATCAGCTAAATTTCTGATTACTTATAATTTTAATTCTTTCTGCTAGATACTTGAAATGTAAACTTATTGTTTTTACTGATCTTACAATTTTTCCTTTTGTTCACAGCACTGTTTTTCATTCTATGTAAAGGAGTAGAGAATGGTGATACATGACACAAAAGTTGCAAGCAACCAGATCATTGTTTTTAACATTTTTTATTTTGCTGGCCACATGAAAAACCTAACTACTTAACTGATGATATGCCAAGGAACCTTATGTTTAGATTCAAAGTTAAAGTTCCATTTAAATTTGAATTCAGTAATAAAGAAAATAATTTCACATATTTAGAGAGGGAGATGGATGAGTAATCAAACATATCATGTACATTTCAGATATTCACTGATTTGGTGTTTATTTTACTAATATTTCACTTTGTAACACAGTTATCCAAAACAGAATTTGACGGCTTGATGATCATGACAGACAAGAGTATCTTAGAGAACAAAGTAATATGGACAAGCACAATACTACTATGAAATTGCTTACCAATCATGTGGAATGGATTTGTTATATATATCATAAGGTGTTACAATCCACAAACACTCCCTTGTGGGTGGAGCACCAAGGCGAGACTCCCATGGTGTCAGCTGACCTAAGCGGCTACCAAGACCCTGTGGTTCCAGACCTGACAACATTCCTCGTGACACACACTGATAATAACATGTGCCACCATTCCTATACAGACAAGAAAACAGATTAAAAGTGTCAGCTGGAAACACAAATACACAAATATAATGCTTGAATGAATAAAAATTTCCTTGGATATTTTCCATCGTCTAGTAAAATTATAAAATAGAAAATGTCGTCTCAGAGATGGGGCTCTATCTCTGTCTTCAGGTACCTACTCTGTTGGGCCCAATAGATAGAGCTAATCCGTACCTCCAACCGGAACTTCTACCTAATTACACAGTGCTACAATCCAGAAAGCAGACATCTTGCCACCGTGAAAACCTCAAATTCTAATTGTATATTAAACCACTGTTGCACTAATGTGTAATAAAAATTACAATAATAACAGGAATAATAGCAATAACAATTTCAATAATAGAAATATCAACATCAATTACAACAGAACTAAGAATAACAATCA